GAGCCCTGGATTCTGAAGACTCCAGAGCCCTGGATTCTGAAGACTCCGGAGTGCTGGATCCTGAAGACTGGTGCTCTAGACCCTGAAGACTCTGGAGAATGGTACAATGAAGACTCTAGAGTGCTGGATCCTGATGACTCCAGAGCCCTGGATCCTGAAGACTGGAGCTCTGGACAATGAAGACTCCAGAGCGCTGAGTGCATCTGCTGGAGGGTCAGCAGATGCACAACAGTCCTTGTTGACTGCTCCCTCGTGCTGCTGATGTCTACTCAGGGTTCTTGGGGGGGGGGGGGGGATTCTGAGTGTTCTGCTGATCTGCTGGAGTGTCAGCAGATGCACCAGATGCTGAGTGTTCTGCAGGCATCTGCATCAGTGTCAGCTGAGACATTATGTCTTTTTCCTGCCTAAATAATGAAAAGGCAAAAAGAGTGATTTGACGTGCAGCTTTTTATTTTGGAGCTGGAGTTCATTTTCCGTGCAGTGTCAAGTATCAGTGGAGACCAGCCTTTGTTGAAGCACGGAGATTTTATAACCAACTGTGTGGAAATTAGGCTTGTTTTTTTAAACAAAAAACTGCTATGACAGAAATACAGCGGGACACTTCGTGTGGTCCACTAACAAGCAATTTATCCTGAGGGAAGGTGGGGTGTGGCTCAGCCTGTTGACTCGGTGATAATTAGGGATTTGCATCTGTTATACTTAAACAAACAAAGCCTAATTGTCTACTCTGCATTTTGCTGCTTTGTGCATCAGCTCAAGTTATAAGAAGTTATTTTAAACAGACAACCATTGTGACAATTTGTTTTGTGCACTGAGTTTGTTTCGTCTATAATAAATTCAGAATAATTATAGATACTGGTGGGAGAAATTATATCAAAGTATTTATTTGGCTGCTCATCTTTTCCTAATAGATCCACAAAGAGTACATTGATTTTAGACACACTAGGGGTAAAATCCCAGATGATATGATACGATTACACATACCAATAATATCACAATGCATCAGTTCTGTGATAACCAACAAAACGTTAGAAAATCTTAAGTGATGCGTCAAAATATCTATTTAACTCTAAATTAAAAATGCCTGAATTTCTTGAGGAATCTCCTAATAATAACTTTTTTATGTCTTCTTTTATTTCCATGTAGCCGTCAACTTTCTGAAGGTTTTCTGGTTAAGGTGGTATCTTGCCGAGTTGACACTATTTTACTGTTTTTCTATTAAAAGCTTTGTGTGAAAAATGCTATGCTAAAGAGCTCAAATCACACCAAGCGTCCGCCATTTTGAGAACCGAAGAGAGACAGCCCATGTCACGTCAAGGGGCCTCCCTCCCATTTTTCTTAGAGACACGCTGCTCACTCCCTCACTATCCATCCTTCGGTTCAAACAGTCTTATATTGTCATCAAGTGGTCGAACAAAGGTACTGCACGCAAAACAAATTAAACGTTTCTTCTTACATTTGACAATAATTATTAATTATTGTCAAATTTCAAACAATATTATTGTTTATCGCAATAATTTCTGAGACAATTAATCGCCCAGCAAAATTTGTTATCGTGACAGGTCCAGTCCTACATAAATTTTGTTCCGTCTGGAACTGGAGCAGATTGGAAATTACTTGAATAAAAAAAAAAAAAACAATAATCACAAACAGTGCACAACTAATTCAGCTGTCCAACGTATTGGATAAAAACTTATTTTTCTAATAAATAAAGTAAAATATTCCGTCGTTAGTTCATTAAGGCTTCTAATCATGTAGTTTATTATTAAAATAACAAAGTAATGTCATTTTTCAACTTTTCAGGCGCAGACTACATTAATCAGATCGATGCCGATGAATGTTATGGAGCCTAAAATGATCACGCTCAGATTGGCTATGGTTTAGTAAAAAATGAAATAAAAACAAGTTTAAATTTAAATATTAATGTTTACAGCTGAACCAATAGGAAGGAAATCCCTGTGTGCGACATGACAACCCAATATTTTTACTTATTCACCTTGATTATAATTTTATGTTCCACATTTTATTGTATATAATCCAGTAACTCTGAGCTACAGGAGTAGATGTGTAACTGCTGCAGTGGTTTGAGCCTCGTTTGCTCTGATTTTTGTATTTCAGGCTCTGTTCGCCATCCGCCGAGTGCTGCTGGCCCAGCACACAGCATTCCCCGTGTCAGGAGCTGATCTGTATGAGGAACTACTGAGCTCCACGGCCATCCTCTCCACGGGAAATCCCAGGTAAAAGTCAATTCTGCTCACGCAGCAGTGCATGCAGCTTTGTCTTTGGGGGCCTGGGGGATTTAGCAGTGGGCTCAGTGGAGCTGAAACGACTTGCAGGAAGGGTCGGCTCTGACGTCCATATTCTTTGGGACACGTTCCTGAGGTTTTTTATGATGCTGTTACTGTGTCCTCCTAATCAGTCCTGTCAAGGCAGGACCTTTGGCTGCTTTCATAAAGCTAACAACAGTTTGTCTGCAGTAAAACTCTTAAGTTCGTTAACTTTTTTGGCTCTTGAGCTTGGAGTTTTTCACGCTCTGCAGAAGTAATTCGTGCAGCTTTGACGAGACGTTTTATGATGTTTTCACTTGGCTCAGTTTTATGAACCGTCTCAGGTAAACCCCAATAAGGCTCATCCGGAGGTCACTTTACCTTCAGCTGGAAACCCTTGAAAACAGGAGAAGCTGCATGTGTTGTGTGATTTTATTACAGATATTGTCAGGTACCTGCGTTGCACTTGTACTGTGTATTGAAATACACGGCTGTGAGGAAATGACGTCCCAGCACCTCTTTAAGTATCTTATCCTGCAGCACAGGAAGCGTGCTCTTCAGCAGCGCACGGTCTGTTTGTTAGCAAAATGAACTACTGGACGAATTTCAGTAAAACTCAAAGCAACTGCAACATCTACGACTTGCTAACGTAATAACCGGACTAATGAGTGCACCTGAATATAAGCTGGCGGCCATCTTGAACTGGATTGATTCCAAAAGATACCACAATGTTGTGGCTGTTTTATTTATTTACTTTGATGGGTTAGGATTTTATTATTTTATTATTTATTATTTTATTTAGTGGGCGCAGCTTTAACTATTCGACATTAGTCTATAGAAAGACGGCTATAACTCAGTGAATTTAACAGATAAGGAGTCATTCACAACAGATAGTCCAAGCATTAACAGATTATTGAAATGTTGCAGAAGATTTTTATTTTTAACATTTGACCAAAATAGCTATAAATCCATTATTTCTCATCATAAAATGAACTTGGTGTAAAACTGGTGGCAGGTGGTATGCTTTTCTTCAAAGGATTTAAGGCCTGTTGTTATTTATTGAATTATTATGTTATTATGCTGATGGTCATGGTATATCCAGAAAATGTTTTCCTCCCACTCTGGGAGGATTTCTCAGTTTCTCTTTTTTGAACTGATAAATGTTTTGGTTTCAGATTTTTTTTTTTTTTGTATTACCTTACTGATAAAGTAGTTTTCCATAAGTGTCTTCATCCTCCTGTTGCTTTTGTCGTGCGTTATTATTAACGTTTCGTGACATGAGTTGATCAGCTTTATCAAATTAAACCTTCCTTCAGAATCAGTGTTTTAAAATTGAATTTACATTGAGTTATGCTTGTAACAAAAAAAAAAAAAAAAGCATCTGTCGTGGATGCAGTAAAAAAAAAAAGTAATAAAAAACATTGGCAGCTCCGACTGACGCGGTTCCTCGTTGGTCCATTTGGCTCGTATCTCCATCCTTAAGTGGCTTCTGACATATCAGCTCCATTAACTCCGCCTTCAGCTTGACCACTTTCTGGTAGGAAAAATACAAAACAAACACCACAGACGAGTAATTTAAAACATCTTAGCCGCACATCAGAAAATCAAAATTTAATGACTTGGAAGAAAAGCAGAAAACCCCACAGCTACTGTACCAGCGGGGCTCTGTGTTGCAGCAGGCGCAGCGTGACACCGACACTTTCTGCTGCCGTTCTGTGATTCACTCGTCTGTATGTCATCGCACGAAGCACGCAGGGTAAATACTCCAGCCGGCATGCACACGTTTCTCCACAAATCTGTGAAACAGTCCAGCAAGAGGTAATTTATAGGAAGAGACCTTTCCCACAGTCACTTTCTGTTTGGGCATAATTAACGACCGCAGGTGTTTTCTCTCCCTCTCCGTGGCTCTTTGTAAGTGTTTTTTATAAATTAGTTACAGCAGTGGAGCAGTGATCTAAAACTAAATCATACATGTCAGCGCAGCGCTGTGATTTACGTGCGTGTGTCGGCTGCTCTCTGCTGGTGGTGAGCGGTACTCTCATGTCTTCCTGTCTCCGATAGTTCAGTGTTTATTTCATGAAGAAAGACTTCACACAATAAAATCAACTGTTTGATATAATGCTTTAATAAAACGTGCTCCTAGCAACAAGTATTAGGCTGCAACATGAAATAAAACTAACACCGAACACACTTTTTAATAACATTCAACCGTAATAACTTTAAATGTAGTCTTGTAGCTGTCAAACAGCGTTGAGCAACTCTTAGTTTCTGCTCTTCCTCCAGTCTTCATCGCAGCTCTTACGAAAGGCAGGAGGTCATGTGATATGTAATATTTGTGTCTGTTAGCAAAATATGTCATGAACTAGTGAATGGGTTTGAATGAAACTCGCATTGTTGCCCCTTGGAGCCAGGCAAAGACTGAATATTAATGGATCTCGAAGCCGGAACGAGACCAACTTCCCTGCGTGTTGGTTCCAGTACAAGTTTTAAGTCCCGCCCCCTCCATGTAAACCAATGAGAAGGGGTTTTCTGCAGACCAAAAGTGGGCGTTTCTGGAGGGCAAACACTGATTGGCTAGCTGTAATTTCTGGCTCTTTAGTTAAGTTACGTGAGCGCTTTTTTAAAACTGAAGGTTTCTAAGAACGAGCGTTAAATCTGCTGTGAAACACAAGAATATTCTCTTTTGTTCTTGGGTTGTAGCTGCACCTGACACAGGTTGGCTTGTGTGTGGTCATATGAAGCATCTGAAGCGAAACCTGCTCCCATTTATCAAAAAGTCTGGTCTCAATTAAAGATCATGAGTCCTGTAACGAGATAATGGTCCAAAACAAACACTAAAAACAAAATGTTCTCTTTAGAAGTTCTTCTATGAGAACTGATCTATGAATGGAGCGGAAACATGGATTGACCCTTAAAATGTGAGACAGCTGAGGAAGTTAACCAGTAAACAGAATACCTGCTCCAGTTGCAGAAATCTGACAGAAACTGACAATCACTCCTCTGCAGTGACTGATTTAAAAGTTGAACAAGAAAATGTGAAGTTGAAGGAAACATCCTTTGTCCCAAAGCCAGTTTAAGTATCATTATTAATTTGGTTACTTTATTTTTTATTTTTTTTATGAATTGATTGTAAGTACTTTCACATTACTGAACAATCTAAACAGATTTCATTTTTTAATGTAATGGCTAATATTAAAAAACAAACATTTAGCCCTCCGCTACCCATTCATGTTGCTCTTATTTTAAAGAGAAGGTATGGAGACGCCGCCAATGTCGAACCGGTTAACACCATAGACATGTCTGTGGTGTTAACACAATCTGCCGACAACGCCTTGATTATTTTTATTTTTGTCCAATCAGATGTGGCCCTCGAGATACGCCTTCTGTATTTGTCTGCCGAGATACCTACTTGAAACCAACAGGTCATTGCATTTGGTAAAAAAAATAAACCTCACCTCAGATAATGTTTTTGTCCACCGTCACGGAGCAAAGAGGGGATTTGGATCGAATTTGGACGTCCGTCTTGTGAGCTGGATAATTTGAAAAATAAGTGAGTGTGTGTGGCGCTGCACACAGAAAGGTCAACAACAAGGCAGTTTTCTACAACCAACAGCAGCTGATTAACGTCTCAAACGCTCAAATAATATCTCAACTACAGCCCCAAATCTCAAATGAGTTGAAAGGATGTTATGTGGATGCATTCTCATCTACCTGCCAGCTGTGCTCAAGTGTCTGACCACTGAGATCCTGGAACTAGCAGGAAACATGGGTTATGACAGCGAAAGGACAGGATCGTTCCTCGGCACCTACAGTTGGCCGTCCACAGCAACGTGGAGCTCGGCAGACTACTGGGAGGAGTGGCCATCGCTCTGGGAGGAGTTCTGCCCGGCATTCAGGAGGTCCTACAGCCCGAGGGGAACCGAGAGGCCAGCTGAGTCTGGGTGGACGTATCCGACGGCATCTGCGGCCAGTTTCTTAGAATCCACTGTGGGATGGATCTTTACAAGAGATCCTTTCTGTCTACAGCCATCAGCATCTATAACATCTCTTAATGAAATGAGGATAACGAGCTACAACAACAAATAATTTCCCTTTGGGATTAATAAAGTATTTTTGAATTTGAATTGAATTGAATTGAGTCACCATCACCATTGGGTTGCCACATCAAAATCCAAGGTTACCACTGAGATATGAAATTATGCTTTCTAGTTTTTATTTTGCTTAAAAGTACATTTTCCTCAAATGATTGGGGTAAGACAAAATTCTGAGAGACACGTGACCCCTGCTATTGCTACTTAAATTATGCAAACATTTCTAGTCCGTTTAACAAAATGCCTCATCAATTCTTCTTCTTCTTGTCTTTCTTCTTCCTCCTTTCTTCTTCTTCTTCTTTTGCAACGAGTCATCCTCCTCCATCTCACTCTGTCCTCATTTCAACTACCTCCATATCTTCACATCACATGTGGTACACGAGTATACAAGAGTAAATGTGGTATAGCTCTTCTTGATGCGTAATATACGATCCATTTATTCTTTTATCTATTTGTAACATTGAAGGCTAAATATTCTGTTGACAACCTTTTCAAAGTTTTCATCAAAATTAATGCTCAACCATCCAGGTACAAAATCCAGTAATGGTCAATCAGGTCATCTGGACAGTTTCTTTTTTGTGGAAAGACGTTTCGTCTTCTATCTGGAGGGCTTCAGCAGTCCGAGGAGTCCCAAGACTCCTTTAGTGGACCAACCAGTTTGCTGGTGATAAGATGGCTGCTGGGGGCTGTCCTGCCCCTCGTCGACTCCTCCCAGGCAGGCAGCCACAGACAAACCAGCAAACTGGTTGTTCCACTAAAACAGTGTACTGGGGACTCCTCAGACTGATGAAGCCCTCCAGATAGAAGACGAAACGTCTTTCCACAAAAACAAAAAAAAGAAACCGTCAGGATGACCAGATTGACCATTACTGGTTTTTT